AGATCCCCCTGCCTCAGCCTCTCACGTGTGTGGTGTCCATGTCTAGCTTGTTCAGTGATGACCTGTGTGTGAAAACTTAGACTTCTTTATCTAAACGTATCCATCAAGGCACTTTTATTTCAGATCAAAGTGGCGTAAATAAAATTGCCATACCATTATTTTATGTTAAGAACAAGAAAAGTTCTCATGCCCTTCATCATCAAAAGTCATTGCACAGTTCCACAAATGCATTAGGAAGTCCAGACTGGAACCTCAAGGCTGCTGACAGTGGTTGTTCTCCAGAGCAGGGTGAGTGGTATGTGGCATCTCAACCACCTTCCTCTCATGTTGCTAATGCAGCGTAGTCAGATCCTGCATCAAGAGTTTGCTGTCTTGGAATAGCCAGCAGCGAGACATCTTCGGTTTTGTCTAATGTCTGGGAGTCTATTTCACACTTGTATCATTATTGAACTTAGCAGACATTTTTGTATTGATAGAAGAATGTGTCAGAGGATATTGATTCTAGACTTTAAGTTCTAGTGGTTTAGGTCCATCTTAAAGGGGCAATTCTGTCCCAGTGCAAGTCAAGGCACACAGGGGGCAGGGGGCATGGTTTTCAACTTCATTCTGAGAATTAGACCTGAACTCATGGTTTTCCGCCCCTCAGAGCCTTCCAGTGTCATCTGGATGGGAGTCACATTGGCCTTTGGTTCTGTGGTAACTGAGAACTGTGGTACTTTAGTGCTTGACTAGGTGCTCTTATGAAAGGAGGGAATGAGTCTTTGGAGCCCTGCTCGTTTGGGGAAACCAATGTTAAGGCCTTTAGAATGTTGCCAAGGAAGTCACTTGTAAGTTACCGCTGACGTCACATGTGTCTGCTCTCTTACATGTATGGATTGTCAAGTTGTGTACCAGTGCTGACTTTTTGTTCTGAAATGCTTTCCTTTCTGTGATCAGTCAGAGCTCCTAAGCAGTTACCAGGCGATTGCCATAGGCCAGATCATCTGTGTAGAAGATGAGAAAGAGCCCCAAGCTTGGACCTGGTCAAGGGTGTGCTAGAGAGGTCAGAAAAACATAATGAAGGTGTGAGATAGCCGCAGAAGGTGTCACAGGGCAGCCTGGGGACGTCTCACTGTGGCATGGTAACAGGAGCTGATGATTATTGTACAGCAAGGGACACAGATGTCTGCTGGGGCAAGAGTGAGCCCCAGCCGTCCCACTGGCTTCTGCCTTGAGCCTGGATGCAAGGGGGAGAGCCCAGTGCTGAACTGCAGGTCTCAGCCTCCCTCCCTGCTGCAGAAACTCAGGGCATTGGAAGCACTGGGCTGATAGACCTGTAGAGAGAAAATTGCTTTACATATGACGGCTATGCACTTGTTCCAGTGGCTGCCCTAGTCGTTACCAGCATTTCTCACAGACCCACATGTGTATGTATCACAGTTGAAACCAGGACTGTAGTTTGTACATACCTTCCCTTCGTCCGCACACCCTACCTCTTGCTATAGTATGGCTGTGTATAGCTTTTGTGACTGTGAAGTAGGTGGGTTTGGTCTGGTTTTTCTTTGAACTTTCAGGTCGCAGGGTCCCCCCCCCCTTTTCTCTCTCTCTCTGTCTGTGTGTGTCTGTGTGTGTATGTGTGTGTGTTATGTGGTATATGTGTGCATGTGTATGTCTTGGGGGGAGAGAAGGAGAAAGGGAGAAAAGGGGGTTATTTGGATACAGAGGGATTTGAAAGTCTTATAATTAAATTCAGTCTGGTTGTGGACTAGTGGCCTTGTGGACTTCAGAGCACGTGTCTTGTGGAATCAGAACTCACGTGTGGTATTGTGGAATGTGCTTGGAGAGAAAAAAAATACCAGAACAAGCCACTCAGTGAGGTGCTTGATGACCTTTGACCTGATGGTGCTTGATACAGCTGACATTTATGTGAGAAATCAGAGGACAGATGCAAACAAACAACAGTATTCAAGGTTACGTGTGCACATGAGGACTAACGTGGCCTTTATCTTTCCTGGAAAAGTCTTGCTTTTGATTGACGTTTTGCTTTATAGAGCTAGCAGTGAAAGGACTGGGGAGAGGCTGGAATACTTCATTACATGTCTTAATGTTCAAATCAGCAAGTGCTCAGAGGGATGACTTTGGATTGTGGATGAGTACCTAATAGTAAGATGTAAGGAGAGAAAGGTGAAATTAAATGATATGCCTTATATGAGTAGGCTGAGCTTTCATACATAAAGCTCCTCCTCAAAGCTCTCCTTTGAGGTGGAGATAGCCTGTATCTCACATGCTTGAGTTTGTGAGTCTGGGGTTAAGTTAACAGTTTAGTGCAAATTAACTGCATTTTAAATTGGACCAAGTTGCTGAGAAACAGTTTGATCCCCTGCTGGACGAGCAGTGCACTGTGCTTGCATTCCAGGGCCAGCATTCTGCTCTCTGCACATTTTACCAGTTTAAACCTTTCGCTTCCACCATGGCAGTTTGGCATGACGTAGAATGAGGTGAGAGACTCCTGTGTTAGCACCTTCTGACTGTGGACACAGAGCCGCTGCACAGCCCTGCTGATGGGCCTCTGACCTGATTGCGAACATACAGCCTCTCTGTGGGCCACCATTCCTTTGGCTGATTTTGAAATCACCAGCTCAACTGTCAAAGAAAGTCATGTTTTTATCTTGGAAAGAAAATCTGGAGAAGAATTACACCCTGCTTTCACAAGCGTACATTGTAATGTAAATACTCTGAGGAAGTGCTTAGCTCTAGATGTTGGTGTCGCCACAGACGTGTGGCTGTGTGTGTGAGGATGGCTGAGGTTAGGAAGAGCCGTGTGCTGACTGAGGAAAACCATACGCTGTTGCTCATTCCCAGTTATTTTAGGTCCAGAGTTCTTGAGAAATGAAAGTAATAGTTTAAATCCCCAATCTGTGAACATGCAGGGATACACTGGTCTCCCCCGTGTTCCACAGTTGGGTGTCTCTGGCTGAGGCCAGGTGTGTCCTACAGTGTTCCTACCCAGAGCTGGTCCTGTCTACTGGCCTGCCACTCAGGCAGTGTCAGCTGCCTGCATCCCTGCATCCTGGCACTGGGATAGGATGTCTTTCTTCCTGAAGTCATCATGGCTGTGCATGATCATCGCAGGCAGGCCCACGGCTGCCATCAGCTCACTAAAATGAACACCAGGTGACCCAGGAGGAGACATGACCACCTGCAGTCCTGTGCTGGAGGTGGAAGGAGGTGGAGGGAGGAGAAGCTGGCAGTCCTCACAGCTCCCTCAGCTGCCGCTTGCAGGGCTTACCTCTGCACCCCTCTCTGAACCCCCACCATTATGCCTCGGTGCTGGCAGTGTGACTTTTTTTTTGCAGAGCTCAGTCTTAGCCAAATGTTGGTCCAGGCTTGCGGCCGTCCCATGCGGCGTGCTGGGCTCTGTCGGCTGCTCTTGCTCCATGAGGTCTCCTCTTCGGTGACAGTATGCGCCCTGGAATTGTACTGCAGTTTCAGATCCGCTGCTTTCTTTGTGGTTCATGTTTTCCCTCTGCAGAAATGGTGCTGCTCTCTTATTCTCTCCCCCATTATTCTCTCTGTTCCTCCTTCCCCTACCCCCTCACCTTTCAAACTATATTCACACTTACCTTACACTCTTGACCCTCTGCCTCAGTCTCCTAGGGGCTGGCATGTCCACCATGTGCCCTCTACCTGGATAAAGTTAATGGGCTTTATTTGCCAATACATCCTGTGTTTATTGAGCATTTACCTTGTGCCACTTTGCAATAGTAACCTTACCTTTCATGTCACGTCACTGTTGGTTCCCAGTCTCCTCCACTGCATTTTCTTTAACTTGAGTCTTACCACCTGTCATTCGTCACATTGCAGACTCCAAGCCTTTGTGTGTACCCTTGGAGTCTGGCCTTGTGGCCTCTAGTCACTGCTGCCCATTCAGGACCTCTGTCTCACCTGCTCAGTGTGGCAGCTGGCCCTGCTTTCAGCCACTTCCTTAGAGAGCAGTCCTGACAGGTGGCTGTGATGACAGCCTTCTCTAAAGGCATCCAGGGGTTCGTCAAAGAGGCAGCCTGAGATGGCCTGTCAGGCTTGGACATGCTCTACTCTTAGCCTTTTCAGCAAACCCCAGGAGCTTCCAGATCTTTAGGCACACCAGACAGCTTAGCTTCTGAGGTTGGAGCTTTGTGTCATCCCTCCCTCCCTGAGTCTGCATTTCTGCTTAGTCTGTACGTCTTCCTGAGGGTCCCCACATACTTACACCTTGTGCTCTGGGAGCCGGGCACACAGTAGGTCTCTACACTTGCTTTTGGGAGGAAGTGTCTGTCTGTGAGTGCTGTGGCTGTGCGGGCTTTGGTGAGGGCCTTTCCTTCACAGCTCTGCTACTTTGCTGAGCCCAGGCCGTGAAGGCCCTGCTTGAAGCTCTGTCCCTACTCCTGGTCTAGCATCTCATGGCCTTGGCCCTGAGGCTCAAGGACTGACTCACCAGACCAAAAATAAAATTCAGAGTCTAGCTTTGAACTGATGTGTTTGGTATGATGTTTACTGGCTTGTGACTCATAATCTAGGGCTTATTGCTGTACACTCATTCATTATCTTTGGAAATTTTTATCTAAAAACATTTTACGTTATCTAATAACATTCTTCTTTATACTTCAGTGGATATCCAGGGGCACGAGGGCTTCATTAAGACTTGTAGACTCAGGTCTAAGAAGTCATTTTTAGATGGCAAAGTTCTAGGATACTTTGAATCAAAATCATTTTGTTTTCTGTGTTTTTTAGGGTTTTAGATACTTAGGGTATAAAATTTTTCCTCATAGTGTTTATTCCAGATCTTCTTAATTTTAAAATCATATCTGAAAGTTAGTTAAAAAAATGTCTTTTTCCTTTAATGTTCTGGGTTTTAAATTTTTGGAATTAGGTCTTTAATCTCAAAGTTTAGATAGATGTGTATATGCATGTATTAAAACACAAAGGTTGCATTTGTTATAAGTATAGCTAATAAACTCGCCTCCTTGTTTATTTCTTCACAGGGCAGTCCAATGGACCCAATGGTGATGAAGAGACCTCAGTTGTATGGGATGGGGACTCACCCCCATTCCCAGCCTCAGCAGAGCAGCCCATACCCAGGAGGCTCCTACGGCCCCCCAGGCGCACAGCGGTATCCCCTTGGCATGCAGAGTCGGGCTCCAGGGGCCCTGGGAGGCTTGCAGTACCCACAGCAGCAGGTCAGTGTTAGCTTTTCTCTCTGCCTTCCAGTGCTTTGTTGACAGCTTTGGGTTTTTTTTTTTTTTGCTCTTGATTTCTACCTATTTTTGGCATTAAGAGAATTTGGGAGTGTTTCTGTGATATCCCCCCCTTTTTTTTATTACAGATGGAAAATTGAACTTGCAATAAAATATACCATTTCCCTCCCCTCCCCTCCCCTCCCCTCCCCCCCCCTCCCCTTCCCTCCCCTCCCTCCCTCCCTCCCTCCCTGGAAATTGTACTAGCAACAAAGTAGACAAAGCTCCTGCTTGGGAGAAAGCAGTGTTGCTCCCCCCCCAGTGACCTTGGCTTTCATTTCTGAGGGTAGGCCCCTCAGGTACTGACCGTGAGAAGACTTCTTAAGGTGAATTTTCCAGTCATTTGAAGTTTTGTTGTTGTTTGAGTTAATCTGGTTGTATTAGCCCAGGCTGCCCTCAGACTTAGTCTCCCAGTGCAGGGATTACAGGGGTGTGCCTCCAGCCTGGAGTAGAAGGTTCCCAGGAGGTTACTTTGCATTGATTGTGGCATGTTCTAGAAAAAGTGTCAGTACCTCATTTGTGAATTTGGTTAGTTGTCTTGGATAAGAGAGGCCTTTCCTGCGCTTAAACAGAAGGCCCCATCTCTTTCTCTCCTCCAGCATCAACTGGCTTTAACCACACATGACACCTGTTTCCAGAAGCACAGCTCATGGGCTTCCTGGTTCTCAAAGTTTCCTTGTTAGATTGGCCAGAGGAGGCATGGACCCTGGAAAGGGCACAGTTAGATCCAGACTTGTCAAGGTATTTAGTGACTGGGAACACCAGAAAGGCTATTTATACACTGCCACAGCATGCCTGGCGTCCCCAAGGAGCGTGAGGCCAGTGGGGAAGCATTTCACTGCCTCCACACTGGGGTGGTCCTGTAATGCAGGTCCTAGAGCTGTGGTAGTCATTAGCAGCTCATCCTCACAGGAAACTCCTCTTCCTTGAGGAAACAAGTCTGACAAAACACTTGTCCTCTTGAAAATCTGTTTAGTAGTCTGAGCTATCTGCTGTAGTTGAGTTTGTCCTTATCTTGCAGTTATACAGAAGGATGGAATTAGGTCATTAGGTCAGCCCTTCAGTCCTAGCATGCTGCCTCAGACTGCTCTTAGTGCATTATTGGCAACCTCCCTCCACAGTGTCGAAAGACTGTTCTGACTGCAGGATCATCCTGCTTCCTGTTACCCCAGGTTACCCCTTCTTCTGCCAGGCTTTACTTTCTTCAGAGTTGAAGCAGCCAATTGTGTGTGTGATTATTAATGAGTAAGAAAGCAACTGCTCTTGCTACACCCCCACCCCCACCCCCACCCCCGACATCTCTCAGCTGTTTCCCCTGCCAGGACCCTTGTATTGGTAGAGCCGCCTTCCTCTCTGTGAAGAGGAGAAGCCTCAAGCAGCAGGCAGCTGAAGTCCTCTCTGTACTTGAGTCCATAAGATGGGTGAAAGCTCTGTCTGCCACAGAAGGAAAGAGTCCGAGATGAGAGCAGTGGGCTGGTGCTCTGTGATTCTTGTGCCCTTGGCTTTCAGCCTGCTTTTCCCATGATTCCCTGATGTGAGGTTGTGAAGTCGTTCCTAGTGAAAATAGAGAGTCCTTTTTCTCTCTTCCCTAAGGAAGTTCAGGGCTTGTTAGTTTTAGACTGTGGCCTAGTTTGCCAAACTAGAGTGAGAGCCAAATATAGGAAGTTTGTGAAGAATGGCTAGCAAGGAAATTTCTTTACATTATTTTCCTTCTCAAATGTGTAGGGCGGAAAATGGTCTGCAGTAAACTCTAATCTTAGTTTTCTTAGCTTCTTGTTTTTATGTAGCCCCATGATCCTTACACACTTATTTGAAAGGACAAGTTGCTGATTACCCATCAAGCATTGCAGCAGATGGCTTCTTGGTGATGTTTAAAAACAATAGTTGTGAGTGTGTATATGTATACATATGCATGTGTCACAGCATGTGTGGATGTCAAAGGACAGCAGTGGGAACCATTTCTGTCCTTCTAGCATTGAACTCACTTTGTCAGGCTTGTTGGCAAGCATTCTGGCTCACTGAACCATCTCTCCTGCCCTCAGCATATTTTAAATTAAGATTTCAGCTCAGGTATTAACTGCTAACTAAAAAGAAATATCCAATTCAGGTGCATAAATATTTCTGATGATGAAAAGAAAATGGTGAATGTTCTGGCTGTAGAAATCTCAAGCTTTCATGCCAGCTTAGTCAAAGTCAGGTCTGTAATAGGCTGTGCGCTACCCTTTCATTCACTGCAAGATGGCCTTGTCTCATTTTGAAATTTCAAAGGCTAAAAATAGTTTGGAATAGGTTTCTTGTTGAATGCTTGCTAACATTGTAAAGGAGATAAAGCTTCAGGTATTGATGTTTTTCCTCCCCTCCTGGTACTGTGCATTGAATTCAGAGCCTCGAACATGGTAGCAAGCAAGCATTCAACCACTGAGGCACAGCCTCTCCCCCAGTACACACAGCATTTAGAACACCAGATCCACGGAATGGTTCTTATAGGTGGAAACAGAGAGTAACTAGTAAAGGTAACTAGTAACTAGTAAAGTTTTGAGAAATAGTTATTAGATCACACGTGCACATACATACACATATACACACTATACACTACATACACACACACACACGCCCATATCCTTAGGCTGTATGTACATGTGTACTTACTTGCATGTGCCTGTTTAAGAAAGGTTTTTAAACTGGGTTTAACCTCACAGTGTAGTCAAGAGTAGTCTTGAACTCCTCATCCTCTTGCCTCTATCTTCTAAATGCTGGAATTAAAGGCATATGTCACCACACTGGGCTTTTGGTCTGTTTCCCCCCCCTCCAAGATCTGGAAATTATAAATGTGTATACAGCAAGGTGCAGACACTATGATTGACTGTTCAGCTTGTCATCTTCTCCTAGGATTACTGTAATTGGCTGAGCATTGTAGTAGCATAGGTACAGCAACTAATGTTCTTCAGAGAAAAAGTTGGACGATAATTATGACATTGGGTGTTTATTGAGTGGACATCGCCACTTAGGCATGGCTTTGCTTTGGATGCCTTCCAAAGCTTTCTGTGTGTGGTTTGTGAACCTCTAATGAGCTGAATCCAGTTCATTTAGCATTGCTCATATATTTCTGCAGAGGATTAAAATGCAGGAATCCAACTTTGTAAATTGAGTTGCCCACTTACCAGCTGAGTGGTAAGTTGTCTTTGGCTCAGAGGTCACAGTTTGATTCCTGGCTGGCACTCTGCTCCTGTGATAAGAATTTAAATGAGGATTCCATTAGAGCTATAGTGCTTGACTAGAATGTCGCACAGTTAGGATCATCACTTACCCTTTGTCCCTCAGTTAGGAGGAACTGGCCACTGACTGACATTAGTATTAAACCCAATGGTTCTAGTTTTGTGTAGTGGCCGTCTTAGTTTGGAAATGTACCTGTGACTGACTTTTGGAACATATCGTGACAGTAGCATGCTGCTTTAGTCTTTCCTGACTGGAACTAGGTTTGTGGTCTTCACTGGCTTGCTTCTCTCCCACACCATCAGGCAGATACATCCTAAACAGATCAGCTTTGCATGGTCCCCTAAAAATGCGTCTATTTGATTTTTTTATTGAGTTGAGGGGAGAAATGAATTTTCTATGCTCCTGTGGAGAATGTTCTGCCTCCAGGCTTTTGGACCAGACCTGGAGGGTTAGCAGAAGCACGCTGGTTGATTTCATCCAGTACAGAGTCACACACATACAGTGCAGCTTTAAGCTCATCACATGTGACTGAGATTTTTCAGGTTTCTTTTTTGTTTTTTAACTTAAAGAAACTAGGATGTTCTTTGCTGGATCAGATATGTGGATTAGCAAAGGCCCTGTTTCATTTTTTGCAGATTCTATACTCATAAATGTATATGGGCTGTTGACAGCTCAGTCTAAGAGATTTTAATATAAAATAAGTAACTGATAAAGAATAATGACCATAGAAGCTGAGTTGTATTGGTGTGGGTAGATTTCAGACCCCTTCAGAGGCTCCCTCCAGGCCTGGGATTCACAGGGTTTACGTCTCACTTGTCTTTACCATGCTGCATATTTGGGACCAAGACCCCTGGTCGTTATACAGCTGGGAAAATGGGAAGAATTCGAAACTGGATAGAATGTTTTTAGTTTAGTGGGTTTTGTTTGTTTGTTTGTTTGTTTTGAGACTGTGTCTTACCAGGTGGGCCAGGCTAGCCTGGAACTCAGAGATCATCTCTTCCTGTCTCCCACATGCTGTGACTAAAGGCTGGTGCCCTGGCACTGGGCATGTGAGTATTTTTATGAGAAGAACCCATTTCTTTAATTTTTTTACAAAGTATCTGCATTGTGGAGACCTTTACAAGAAAAGCATGGAATAGGATCATTGTTCTGAAAGTGGCCAAATTCAGTAGAAGTTAGTAACTTTTGTTAAGGTGATTTATGTAAACATATCAATTTAAATGGAGATAAAAGCTGAATTAAAAACGGATTCTTCTGCAGATGACTTAAAATAATGTGGACACTCTAATCTGTGTTTGCTTACCATCCCTCCCTTTTGACCACATCTCCTTCACTGCTTGTTTATTTCAGAGCAGAAGCATTTTCATTGGTACCATCTTTGCAGCCAAAATGCATCTTCAAGTGCACAGTAGATATTTCTAAAAAGGAAACAAACATTACAATTGTTTGGCAAAAAGAAACCTTTTCTTTGTGGTTATTTAGGGCAGATGAGCAGTTTCCAGGATCCATACCTGTGTTGCTATAGTTTTGGTATAGTCTAGAAAAGAATTTTTTTGTGTGTACTTAAAAGTCATAATTTAGTGAGTTTGCAGAGCTCTTGTGAAGGGCAGGCTTCGTGGAGAGAAGACTGGTTCAAACAGTGCTTCCAGATGTGTTCTCATGAGTCTGAGAGGCGTGGCTCTGTGGTTTTGGTTGTGTCTCTAATGCTCAGCTGTCCTATTTTTGAC